AAATCCATGTCGTTTGGTGAGTATCCTTGTGTTTGTACACTCTACCCGCCTCCAATCACCAAATCATTGGAGGTGTAGAAGTCTGCAAACAGTTCTGCATTCTCATTCATCATTTCACCGGGTGCTTCTCAACCGATGATGAGTTCTCTTCCTGTGTTGTCCGCTCCCAGTTTGGTATTCACATCACCGCACTCATTAGAATTTTGATGTCACCATCTCGAGTGGTTCTTCTCTATTGCTGATTGCAGTTGTCTATGGAATTCCTCCTCCTTCTCTTGATCCGCATTATTTGTAGGCGTATAGCGTAGCATTGTATGATTGTGACTTTCCTTCCTTTTGAGTTGAACCTTTCTGTCATGATTCGGATGCTGGAGGAGATTGGTTCCCACTGCATGACAGAGAGGGCCTTCGATGCTGTTGGGGACATCATCGAAAACTCAGTGTGCTGGTGGTTGTCGTCTGTGTGACAATATTGGAATAGATTATTGACTCTGCAGTTGAAAGTTGGGAGAGTCTGCTTCTATTCTGTCTGCTTTCTCAAGTTCCTAGCACTTCAGTGGGATGCCTTCTCATCTCTTGTGCAATCTAGGCAACCTCGCTAGGTTCAAACATAGCGTGGATGTTCCATGTCCTCACGCTTACTTTTGCTCTCATCGAGAGGAGAGAAGACACATCGGCCAATTGGCTTCCCGAAGGTTTTCACCAACCGGCGTCATTTAGCCTCCTCAATTCCAGTGAGGAATAAGTTTGCTAGCCTTATGCTCAACCTTACCTCTTTACCTGGGCTTAGGACCGGCTAGTAACTACTCAGCAGAACACTCCTCTAGCAGATCTTACGCGTCCCCATGGTTTCAATAGCTCATTGGGGTATATCGTGTTCAGGAAAACCTTAGCATGGCATTGTCTGGAGAAAAAATTCATTCTCCTTCTATGGTATGGATCTGTCCAGTGGTGATACCGCCATCCTCTTCTTAGTGGGCGTTTTTACTGTGAACGCGATAGAAATTGTCCCGCAAAGAAGTGAAGTATACGAAAGATTTTGTCAGTGGCCACTGTTGTGGTTACTGTGCGCGCAACGACATTCGCTCCAAACGCGTTTCGGTGTGAATCGGATAACACGAGCCTGTATCACCTGTGCTCGATCAGAATGTTACAGGTCTTATCCTAACTGACATGCGCCAACCGAACAGATGGCAACGAAGGGTAAGCCCGCAGACAAGCGCCAGAGAATTCATAGAGGTGTAATTGATTAATTTGTCCGCTGCCCGACGCACGTAAACGAAACTAGTTTAAATATTAGCGTGATAGTGGCATATACAGCGTTCGTCAATAAATCTGAATGGGGTTGCATGAGTATACGACAAGACCAGGGTACCGGCTGAAGCGCTGAGGGAAAGCTGTTAATCAAGCGCCAAATTTTGTAACTGCTGGTGTTTCGGCTTTTATTTCCTTCTGGATCAGGGCTGACCGATTCACCCAATCTCGGTGTTGTGCAAACGCCAATTTACTTGTCACCTATCCAGTGTATCAGGGAGGAAAACGGACAGATTGCCAGCACGCTTCATCATATATTAATTTAGTCTCATGAAGACGAGACTGGTTTTCTCCAGCACCTGGCACACCGAGGGAAGAAAAATCATGTTGTAGCCATCCACAGGTTTATGGCGGCCATCTCATGCCCCAGGCACATGAGGGCCCGGCACAGTGTGTTGAGGCAAAACGCGTCAGCTAGTAACTCAGAACATTCTTTTGTGAACTGAGCCTTCGCTTCAGAAGCCTCGGGTGAGGCCGAATAATGTCCCTTCAAGTAGTTTTCTGCAACCTGCTCAAACGTTGGGCTACTGGAAACGCTTCATCGGACATATCCTCAGACCCCTCTTATTTGCTTATTTTGACCATTTAGATGTCAACAGTCCGTCAAAAATACTCTTGCTCTTTACTGAAATGTCTTCAACCTACCGTTGGGTGGGCTAACAACAAGACTTCGGGGAAATATTACAGTAGATGGCAGTTAGCCACTGAGCATATATGACCTCAGATGGCTGTTACAGAGAATTTTCATATTGGATGAACCTCCACCGCCAAACTTTCGGGTGCTTTTCCATCCGACCCACAGAAAGAATATGAGAACTAAATGATGACCAGAAAACCACTGGTTGTAGTGCATTACCACCTATTATACTGTAAGTAGCTGTTTGTTTAAGTATTATGTTGAGAATACTCGACTGTACCAGGGGTTGCTTTCTGGAATAAAGCTATCGTTAATGTTGTTTATCCCATGGGCCGTTCAGAAGGTACATCAAAACTATCCTCGCCATATTCAAAATCTACTACGATGAACAGAATGATGGTGGAGTTTGTCTCCAGGCTTATTCCTCTTGAAGTCGAGTGCCAGCTTGATGTAGCCCAACATAAGTGTATCGTCGTAGTTCGTAGATCCTGTGTGAGCTTCCAAATTCACCTCACCCATACTGCAGTTGAACTGCTATTGGGGCTCTTCCTTATATTATCTACAAGAGTGTAGCGCGCACCGACACCCTCAGTTTGAGGGTAGAAAGGTAAACGGATTAGTAGATTAAAGATGGAAGGGACGAAGCACAGGCTATGATCCAGCATTTCTCTGAGGCCTTAACTCAAAATCTTCGAGCGTTGAAACACGGCAGAGTAAAGTTTACGCAAATCGATTGCGATGTTATACTCAGCGCAACAACTGCTCGAAACATGGGCAAATCAACAGGATGAAACAAGGAATATATAACACTGCTCGGAGTATCTACACTCTGTGTAACCTATCACCACCTACTTACCACCCTATGTCAGACACCATAGTCTTACGAATCTGCAAACCAAAACCTAAGCAACATCCTTGAAATTTCAGACAGGAATCTAGACTGTTACCACAGTTAAGATCCTAGAGGCGTAATTAGGTCACTGTTGGTCAACTAAAAAGCAGCACCCGGTTCTTAAGTCAATGATATGGCTTTCGTGAGGCATCCTCATGCTTGGCAAACCTTCTCATAGTCGGAGAGGGTTGTGCAAATTGTGTGTTAGAAAGCCTGTAGTTGTCGCTTCCACAGAATTCAGCTAGGGCCTTAGTAAATCCCCCAACTTTCAGGTTTATGAAACTGGAAAGTTTCTGAATCACTTACTACCTAATTGCATGTAATAAAAAGTTACTGATTGTACTAGACAAATATTAAAGATCTTCACCCAACTCCCCCCTGGAAGTCGGTTAGGTGTGAAGTACCACGAAGGACAATTTATTGCCTCCGGCTTATTTTCCTTCAGATGAAAGAACCACGGGACATAGTGGAGTACCGATGGTTGTCTAGGCCGATGACGTCAAAATCTGACGAAAACTAAATGACGGTGGTGTGAGTACCCATTAGACAAAAATAAGCAGTTAGCTAGCCCCATAACTGAAATGTTTGACTTCTAGGGCAGGTAGGTGAGCATGCATATAGGACATGGCATATTTGCTTGACTTATCTATCCTTCTTACTGGCTCAAACTGACGTGGGAGTCATACATATATGATTTAAGGTCCACAGAGCACTACCAGTGAGTTACAGTTCGAAGTTTGGGGGCGTTTTCGATGAAGCGTAGAAGTTCTCCTAGAACTGATGGTGATTTTCGTCTCCTTACATACGACCTTAGTTACATTCAAGCTGCAAGGCTGAAAAATTGTCAGTCTCTTTTTTGGAACTCTCTGGGAGTAATTCATGGGATGAGTGTTCTTGCGATGCTTGTTGTGGTCTAACCCACGTGAGGTGAATTGGTTAGTTGAAACCCTTCTCTTCGTCGTATCTTAGACAGAGAAGAATCAGTCACCTTACATAGAAACTGAGTAAACGACTCAGAAGTTGATTATCATTCTCTTTTGCTTCTCGCCACGTATGAACACCCTGAAGGATACGTCAGACGAAAGCAAGTGCCATGACACAAAGCTATCATCATGGGGATTTTGGCTTTGATCAGAAAGATCGACTTTTGGTGACGACTTCCGGAGAAATTTATTTCTAGGTTATTGACCAACTCACTCAAGAGACGGATCGAATAGAACTGTGGTCTGTCGTAAAAGAAGCAACGTTGGATTGCAGCCATCGATCCTCAAACCCGAATCTGAATCGGAAATATACAGCAGATGAACACCCTGGAATGATTCATCAAGTCCACTAACGGCCTAAATCCTTTTCAGTAGACGTAAAAGCTGGTCACAAGAAAGCAACGGGCTTATGCTTATTTGTAGAACAGATGGAGAGCCTGAGCTGCAAAAGCTTTTCGACTATCACTGTCTCCCAGTTAGGCCTTTCAGCACTTCAGTGTTGATGTGTTCTGTTTGTCCCATATGATATATCAAAGATTAAAGTTGGAATATCTTATTCTTTCTCCTGTATCTGACATACATACTGAAAGAGATTCATTGGGAAGGTACTCGAATGGTCAATAGCTATTCCAACCTCGTCCAAGAGGAGCAAGTAGATCCACTTGACCTATTTTAACTATCGTACCGTGGATTAAGCGAACACCTCATACCATCACACTGTGTCCTAAAAAATGACTCGCTAACTAGTCTATCCTGTTTATTTGTCCTTTGTTGAAGCGATCACCCGGTAACTAATCACCGAAACGTTGATAAAACTCGATAAAATGGCCTACATCTGAAAATCCATTTTTTGCACAGAACGGCTAACCAGTGGAATACTTTGCTATCGTATATTGTTTGCGAACTCTACCAAAAAGAAATTGGATATCTGGAGTACGTAATATAGGTCAGTTTACCTGATGAAAGCCCAATAACAAGAACTGTATGTCAAAAGAAGGACAAGCATCTCCTTCAGTAAACATTCTACATCACTACGGTAATACGTCTTACAGTTACGAATACCAGTGATTTAAACTAAAATCATTTAAACTGAAGACTTTCCTTATTTTATAGTTTGAAACCATTTAATTCCAGAGCGCTGAATACAACATATAGCATTGCATCACCTGATCTGATGGTAAGCTGCATATTGACAAATAAAAACCTGCTGGCATGTAATAGGATATGTTCAAAGGATATCTTAAAAGTGTTGTTGATATAGTCAGGTAGATAATAAGCATTTGTTTTGACGATTTGCACAAACTTAGCAATCTAGCTGAGCCGAATTGCGGTGATACTACTGAAGGATCTCCAAAAAATGTTGATAAACAGTAGGCAGTATTGTTTCTAATAATTTGATTGAAACGTAGGTATTGCGGTGATGAGGATTCTCAGGATACCTGGGCCTCTGGTATTGTGTCTGAAACTCTCAACCAGGAGAATCCCGGAGGTGGTTATTTCAGCTGGGTGCCAAATCTTTTGACCCCTAACAATGAAGTAAGTATTAAATTTTCCTAATGTTTAATCAAGAATAATATCTAGTCAATACGCATAATTTTCTACTTTTCCATCTTTGCTACATTAAAATTGGGCTCATAGAGTAGCGTAACTGCAAAGAAGTCGGATATTATAGTATTGAGACTTTCTAACATCTTTCTAATTTTCCGAGAACTGAGGATATTTACCTCGTAAGACGCAGTTACTATTTTTGTGGTCGGGAAATTTCAAATGCAGACGCGCAAATGTCAGGTGACATTTAGTTGTGGGGTTATAACATGAATTCCAATAACCGTAGGATATCAGGAGTTAATACTCGATTTTTTTTCGGTCAGTTAGTATAATTTACCTTAAAAAGACAAGTGTAGCCCACCAGATAGTGTGAAAACTCGTACTTAGTCGTTTACGTGGAAGTAATATTTGAGCGTTAGGTTAATTTATTATTAGTTGTAAACCTTTTATTCAGGTGTCTTTATAAAAAGTGATTTAACTGTCTCTTATCATCCTGTTATCGTAATCTTCGCCATAAGTGTTTTAAGAAGGAAACTGGGAGGAAGATATCGAAAGATGGTCTTTACTTAACGTCTATTAATAGGTAGAGTGAAACCACTTCTGCGAAAAAAGACAAGGAACTGGTAAACCAAAAACAAAATGCTGCAGTCTTCTGTCAGGCCGTTTCCGGTCTCCATAAAATTAGACCAAGTGCGTTTTTGTTTCCTCATACCACTTGTCATAGGAGCCATTTGAAGGTCACAAATGCCGTTTGAATGTTACTTGGCATAATTTTGTTTACTGATAGCAAGCAGGCTTTATCCAATAACGAGATGGTAATGGGACGAGTAAGATTCCTACTCTAGTTAAGTTGCTTTTCATTCGACGTGAATTCGCTCATAGAGTTCCAGTTAAATATAACTGTATTACGTTGTCCTACATCGTCTTGCTTATTGAATATCGTGATTTTAAGAGCACTGTAAAGTGCAAGTTATAGATGTGACGTATCTAATTCTTGTTTGTAACGCTGTAGAAGGATGTCTTGATTTATTTTGAGCATAAAAAGAAGGAAGCACGTCCTCCTTAGAAAACTTTAATCTCAATACTTGCAGTCCAAATCAAGACGTACAGTTCTTCAGTAATTTCTCTCTGATCACAAGTATATGAACTATCTTTTGTGCTAATTATTGAGCGACATTTCGGTTGCCGATGACTTCTCTGCATGTATGACTATATTTCAAGGGCAGGATTACATTGTGCAACAATCGGCTGTGAGGTCATTGTTAAAAGTAAAAATGTTGAGGAGCTTTCCATTTTTCTGGATATGTATTTCTTCAAAGCATTATTGAGGCTAAACCAAACAGTTAGCAATGCTGCGGTTGACAAGTTACTTAATGAGGTCTTGAACCTCTATTTACTAAGTTACGTAGGACGTGTAACTTGTACATACTCACTTTTCCTCGACGGACTTTGTTAGTTGAAGTAACGTTAAGTTGGAAATATCTAGGCGTTGTCAGTGTGAGACGTATTGTCAGTGTATGAAGTCTTGAAATGTTTGTCTAAACAGAAGTGTAATGTAGGTTTACAGGGTGGCGTCGACAATACAATCTAAAACACTGGTTGGGAACCCCACTCGACATGACTCAAAATGATTATAGTGGCCTAGATACATTCATACCTTATCTTCTAGCCGTTGTATTGCATTTCCTCATTTACTTTAACCTCTTTTCCTTTTGTTCCTTGATTTTACATTGCTTTTATGAGATGTACTATTGTCAAGAATTGGGGTTTCTACTTTGGGCTAGATGACGAAAGTGACCTACATAGAGCATCCTCGGTAACGCGGGTTGAAACAGTAATAGAATGATTCCGGATCACCATATTCTATCTATTAACTCTGTTCATTACTACTTAAGTTCTCATCCTTGACTGCTTTCGATGGTTGATCTCCGAGACCCGATATTTTTTGATTCAGGCAAGCAACAACTCGACATCTAAAGGTGTTTAGACTCAATTTTAATCTGAGATTTTGATTAAATATTAAGCAGACAGTACGTAACTGTTTGCTTTTCTAATTCTAAAAAGTGTCATACTCTTCCTTTTTATTAGTCTGCTATGAATAAAATACGGATTCATGTCTCTTGATGTTGGTTTGTCAACCACTAACTTCAAACCAAGTCTCCGTTGTCAGACTGAAAATTTGTCTTCTGTCAACCACTTCTCGATTTTTTCGTTTCCTTCAACTTTTAACTCCGTAACCGTCCACTATAACGACACAGTTCTTCGTTATTTTTGGGACTATCCATGGCGAATTATTGTGTTGACCCATCAACTTGAACAGAGTTATTGAGATCCACTGACCTTTCTTATCTTTCTCCTGAAGTATGATTGCAGTCTGTATAGCAGCTAAAGACGACCCTAAGCCACTTTGAGATGAAAAATATTGTTAATATCCTGTTGGATTACAAATAAATATTCCACTCATTCATATATATCCAAACCTATTTGGGATTTGATAGTTTGAAAAGAACTTCATTGGGTAAATGATATTGTTCTGGTATTTGTGTTTCCCAATGATTGTCAAATAAAACGAGGTCCTTGTAATGGTCTCGTGTCTAAATTAGACTCACATATTTACGCCTAGATCGAAGTTTCCGAATGTTCTAAGGGTAACAGTAATTCTTCACCAGACCTCTTCAAAAATGATTGGTAGCAACATGGTCTAATTGTCTCCACTGTTGAGTTGGAATAGTCACTAGGTCATCCGGTGTCTCTGTAAGTTAAAAGTCACTAGTTTTGAACTAAATTGAATGATGCAAAATGTACATTTCCCTTTGTAGAAGGCTACGTAGTTTTACGTGAAACATCCTTCACTTCGTTCAAACTGAAGTCGTTGGGTGCATAGGGAGAAATTACAAACATGAACTCAGTCATAATCCAACTTCTTACCATACCCTTCAATCAACAGTATACAAGTGACTTTCTGTCGAGATTTTTTTGAAAAGTTCACGTTGTGAGGGTTGACAAACTAGTCGTGAAATTGAACAGCGTAACCACTGGTTGAATGAGACGAAGTGAATTACCGGATCTCTATCTTTTACACATATCTCATAAAACAATTTAAATCCAAGATCCGGAAATCTAGTTTCAATTATTTAGTCTCGATTTTTAATTAGGCGAAGGCTTTTTATACTTTGCGCTCTTTTCTTTCCTGCGGGGTACTGTTAATTTTATTTTGTGAGCTGCTTTCGAGGAAAGAAGTTGCGAGTAATGTAAGGCTATTGGCATGAAGTGATGCTGGAAAAAGGTTGATGTTAATCAAAGGGATTCATACTTCCCAGACATATCCATCTGTGTAGGTTACTCCCTAATGCAGGTTGGTTGATTACCAACTAAAAAGCAACTAATTTAATACTGTATATTGTATAACCTTCAAAATCAAGTTGAAAGCCTTCAAAAAAGTCGGCGAAAGACCACAGTTCAAGTTCAACGCCCAGAACAGAAACTGAACTGATGGACGAAACTACGAAGGACATCTTTACTTCAGTCATCAGGACAAAATAGGAAATTTCAAGCGACATCCCTGCAGAAACAAACCTCCGTGGACGAACACTGGAACTCTTTGAAAGAGATGTGGAGAGAAACCTGTATAACCATATTAGTAAGGAAGAAGAAGACGCCAGACAAGGAATGTATCTCGACGGACACATGGAAGCTGATAGAGCAGGGAGAGGAAGATGGTGAAGCAGAAGATGAACCAGTGCAGTGCAAGGATGAACAACCAAAAGAGGAACTGAACACAACCTATATAACACTACACTAGACAAAGAAGTGAAGGAGAGTGCGCGCAAATACAAGACACTTCTACGACACACTGGCAAGTGAAGCAGAATAGGCTGCAGGTACGGGAGAGAGAGAGAGAGAGAGAGAGACCTGATAACATTGTGTCAAATAACCAAGTTATTATCTGGGAGGGAAGAGATCAACTCAGATAAACCAATGAGAGATAGTGAAGGAAACCTAGTTATCACCAAAGAGGAGAAATAAAGGAAACGTGGGGGTGACCACTTCGGAAAACTCTTGAGTCGACCACCACCTGCAACTAGTCCAGAAATACCATCAGCAGCCCAGCTACAGAATTACCAGTGAACACAAGCCCCCCGACAAGAGCCGAAATCCTGGACGCCACAAAGCTGTTAAAATCCGGGAAAGCAGCAGGACCATATGGAATTCCTCCAGAAGCACTGAAAACAGACGCAGAGACGACAGCGGATATGCTCACACCACACCACTATTGCAGAAGGTCTGGAAGGAAGGAAGGAAGGAAGGAAGGAAAGGTACCTGCCCATTGATTGGAAGAAGGGCTACCTTGTCAAACTTCCAAAGAAGGGAGACCTAAGTCTTTGCAAGAACTGGCGCGGAATCATGCTACACTCGTCCACCCAAAGCAAGCGAAATATTAGGCCGCATCATCCTGGAGAGACTAAAACATGCTCTGCATTCAAAATTACCACTGGAACAGGCCGGATTCAAGAAGTGCAGATCATGTGCTGACCAAATTGCAACTCTACGCCACGCATCATCATAGAACAGAGCGTAGAATGGCAGTCAACTCAACTGTACCTCGACTCCATCGATTTTGAAAAGGCCTTCGATAGCGTCGACCGAGAAGTGATTTGACAGGCAGCTGCTTCAACACTGCGGAATACCGCAATCCTGTATCAATCTGATTCAACAACTACACGAAGACTCCACATGCCAAGTAGTTCACAATCGGAAGCTCAGTGATGCCTTCGAAGTGAAGGCAGGAATGAGACAAGGCTGCCGCCTACTGTCACCAATGATCTTCCTGATTGTGGTCGACTGGATCATGCAGCAAACCGTGAGGAGCAAGAAGATGAGCATACGTTGGCTGGACCGATGAAAAGACCCTAGAAGATTTGGATTTCACCGATTATGATTTATGTCTAGTGTCTTGTCGTACAGACTCGAAGATCTACAGGCAAAAACCAACAAGTTGACAGAAGAGGCAGGGCAGCGAGGACAGGACTTCAAGTGAACGTAGAGGAGACAGAGGTGACGAAGATACCAAACCAACAACAACAACAACAAGCACCAATCACAATCAACGGGAGAAACCTACAGAAATTTGTCTCTTTCACCTACCTAGGAAGCATCGTTCCAACTACAGGTGGCACATGCACAGATGAGGACGTCCAATCCAGGATCGAAAAGACAGCAAGACAGACCTTGCTGCATTAATCTGAAACCAGCGTGGGGATCTACTGCACTCAGCATAAAGCGTGAACAACATCCGGATTTTCAACACTAATCCCAGTCAAGTCAGTGCTTCTATGTGATGGTTGACAAACTTGGCGCGTCACAAAAAGCATTTCCAACAAACTACAGATATACATGATCAACTGCTGCTGCCTACGCTCACTCGATACTCAAGATCGGATCAGATCAGATGAGATGAGATCAGATGACCAGAATACTAAGAATAAACAACAAGGAACTCTGTCTGTCTGGCAACGAACCAACCAGGAACCCATCGCCCAACAAATATGCAGAAGGCAATGGAAGTGGAGATGGATTAGATTGGATTGGCCATACACTGAGAAGACCGATTGGGGACATCACGCACCAGGCCAGGCCGTCGAGTGGAACGCAAAGGGGAGACGACGAGTTGGGCGTCTGAGTTGAGGGTGACATGGAGTATATGATGTGAGGAAGAAATGAAAGCTTGTGGGCAGTCGTGGAGCCAGGTTGGAAAGACTGGAGAGAAGAGAGTGGGATGGAGACGTGCTACTGAAGCCCTATGTTCCACTAGGAACCTAAGGAGCAAATAATGAGAATATATAAATAGCTTGAATCGGGTCCGAGTTCACTTGACCCTTTCACAATGCGGTTGTGTGAAATTTCTTGTTGTTTGTGGTCTGGATTTGTTTCGTCAGATCTTTACTTTTGAAATCTTATTACGGTCCCAGTATGTTGCTGGGGGAAGGATTCTTTTCTGCCTATTGAGTTAGTCGATTCTAACTCCCACTTCCAGCAGTGGAGAAGGTGTATCACTGAAGTCACTGATGATTCCTAAAAGCATCATACATTCATCACACCTAGATGCTGTCAACAGTATGATGTCTCCGGACTTAAGACCAACTTTTTAGTCCCATTCCACTTAAAGTGACCGTGTTGGTATGGTGGTATAAGGCAGAAGCTTGTCGGTCAACATATTTTGGATGCACTATTTGAGTAATCGAATCGTAGAACCGGGAGTAAAATATCAGGTTTATTGACAAGTTCAAATATATTTGGAGTGATCAACTTCACGTAAGTGTCTTTATACACTATCATCTAGTATCTGAGTTTATGTTATTAGCTATTGAAGTGATCTTTACCCAGTAATATGAATACCACTGGGAAATAAATTCTGCTCCCAGTGGTCTGTACATATAATTTACTATGTTATTAATAATCGTCTTTTGTATAATCACTTTTTGACAGAGAAAATGAAGTATTAACTCCGTTTCTCTTCACCATTATGGATTTTCAGTGTATTTCATGTGACATGTTTTTAGTATTAGTTATAGCTGATTTATTTTTGATTTCGACCTTATTTACATCACTAACATAGTTCTTTTACCACTCATTTTATGTATTTTAGAACTCCGTATTATACTACATGAATTCACTAGCATCTATGGGAGTGTAAGTTCCACCTATATCACATATTTTTGGTGTGCTAGAAACCCGAATGACGAAAGTGAGCAACAAACCCCTCAAAAAACTGAACAGCTATCTGTCATAACGACAGATATTTCAAAAATTCAAGTGTATGTCGATATATCCTGTTAGTTATAAACTGATCATATTTTTATGAAGTTCTGATAATACTGATGTCTCTGAAGTACCTGAATTCCAGGTAGACAATCCATCGTTGTCAGATGACCCAAACTCAAACTGGATGGGTGGATTTTCTGCTAAAACGTCTCGCGTAAGAACATATTTCTTGAATTTGAATACTTGGCACCCAGTTATGAGCAATGCATTCATTAATATTGACTGTTTTACTTTTTCCCGAGGAGTGCTGTGATCTCATTTGTTAAACTCTTTGAATAAATTTTAGTCGATACCTAATTTTTGTTCCGAGTAAAGAAAAACACTAGGGTAAATTGATTTACTGTTTTATCAAGGGCATCGAAATTAAAAGTGTTTATATTGTTTATTCCAGGAAGTATCAATGCAGCGTGCATTTACTAATATAGGTGACATGTAAATATTAGTATCGATCAAACATGATGTATTCTACCTTTATATTTACTGCCTGATAACTGCTATTTCCCTGCTAGTTTTGTCACTCAAAGTTGTCAGTGAGTGCATGTTATTCCCGTGATTGACAATATAAAATAAAAAAGCTAGTAAAAAAATGTGCTAAGAAGTACTTTTTACATGGGATAAGATCTTACTATAGACACTTTCCATTTTAGGTGTACATATTTCACAACAACTCACCAAAACTTGCTCTACTGTTGCGCAATAGACCTCGTAGCCGTAGTGTGAATATTTCTCGAAAACTGGTTCATTGGTCCGAATAGTTGACTTAGAAGCAGTGAGTGACAGGTGAGACCTTCGTTCCTTTTCGAAGCTCGGGCAGTCTAGAAGAACTATTCACTTCCGCACATTAGGTATGACCTAATACAGCAACCTGCACTCAGATACTGAGTTGCGTTATTACATGAATACATATTTTATATAAGTTATAAAACGGTCTGACTGGGGTTTACTGGTCACTGAATGATCACACTTTGTCCTTGTAAACTGATAACGATCTGATGCATTTGATATTTTTGATTTTAGTCAGTGCATTATTCCTATGACCTGACCGTAAGATGACTTTCTCGGTGAAACTTGCAATTATCATTTATGAAAATTAATGCTAAATGATCGACTAACAGTTGCTACCGTGACGTAGTGTTCGGGCTTGCATATCACGACGTTACAACGAGCTGTGGTGGTGGAGAAACTTGTTACATTGTGGTCCTACCCTATCAGACAGGTTTTTTAGATAGAGACAAGACAAAAGGCAGTTACAGGTATAGTGTAAACTACCATACTATGGTGGAGGTCCGAGGGCGTAGTTGTACCGCTAGCTGGTTGGGGATATGATAGCAGTAAGATGTTTCCAGCGGACGACCAGGAGTACTATGCTGATGCTAATGGAAAGTGAAGATTAGAAAAGACCGGCCGCAAAAGCAGCATCCTCCCCCAACCCAACACCCTCCCAACGCTGGTAGTGTGGGTTTATATCTGGATTCAAAACAAACAAGCTTAAGTCTCAAACGTCTGAAGAGATTTTGTGCAGCCAAACTCAAACTGGTGTTATTTTTTGTTCTGTCGTCATGTATCAATATTAACTAATCCAATTTATTTTCCAGATAACCCGAGTTAAACTGGCTTCCCACGGCATGAGCAACAGGGGACTGTCAACTTCTCTCATAGCTCTGTCAGCACTCAGGCTCCCTCAGACTATTAGGGACCTTCCGTATCCCTACGTTCTAATATCTCTTCACGTCTCTTGGTCATCATTCCTACGTTATCTCTAGTTTGTTCCAGCTCTGTTTGCAGTTCACTGGTTTTTTGAAACAACGCTAATGCGGAAAGTATTGCATGTATATCAACGTACACCAGTGGTTAGTACCTAGAAATTACTTGACATAGAGGTATTCTAACTACGTCGTTCAGGCAGTAGAAAACTGATACCAACCCCGTTAATACATATTCATCATCTACATGAAGTTAGCTGAACAGGTATTTCACTTATACGCCGTACAAAACCATTACAAAACTGATCTTAGCAATCAGTTACTAATCGTAGGGTTACAATGCGATGTCGATTGAAGAATAACCACACTAATTAGTTTTCACACTTTGGTGTTTAGAGCAAGGCTTAGGACCCTTGATCTGGTTAGAAGTCGAATATCTAGATCAAAGTTGCAACTCTTCTACTAAAAGTCAGTAAACAAGTCTTATTTTGTTTAGTTTTATTGGTATTTGGTTGCTATGTTCGTTTATTAACCTTTGGCTGGTTTTGTTTTTATAATGTACGTCTCCTTAATGTTACTGGACTCTTTTGATATTCCATCCAGGTTTGGGAGCAGATAAAACAAGATTTAGCGAAGTTGTTAGTTCGGTGTCAGAACCGAAAGACGTTGTGTATCGTACTGCCTCATCAGTTCGAGATCATATTACTGCTGCCGCAAATACAGTGAAAAATATAGATCCTGACGAATTCCTCTTGCCGAATACCGAAGAAAAAGTCTCTAAACAGCCTCCCGGGAACACAGATGATTCAGGTAATGATTTTACAAGGATTTTTTTTCAAATTAATATCCATTCATCGTCAACTAACTGAACGATTTCCGTTAAATTGTCAGACACAAGAATTTTGATAATGTAAACAATGCACAATTGTGATTCCAATGGTAAAAGAAAAAGAAAAAGCTCGAACCGGACTTCTGTGCGAAACGTTGGAATTATTTCATTTCAAACATGCTGTGACTTACACAAATATAAACTATAACTCTGTTTACTTGAAAACTTTCTCAGGAAATACTCTTTCAGAGGACTGGAAACGTGTGAGCGGTTGACACTCCCCAGCTGTACACACCTGGAAGACTATTTCCTCTTAAGATACCTGGAAGAAAAGATTTGTGTGACTGCAGAGCTCATGGGACATCTGCTTAAGGCCTATCGCACATGGTCTTTCGTGGGTTGTTCCTTTGAGGTTTTTTTGTTCCAACGCTAGCTAGATAGGACCCATGGCACCGGTACCGGGAGATAGTGGAGCAGGTTGAGTGTGTTATTTCGGGGCCGACTTTTTCTGCTTCCGCTTCCCCACAATGAGGGTAATATCAGCATGGTGCTGCTGGTCATCTAACGGAAACACCTTACTGCTGTCACACCGTCCAGTTGGCAGCAGTATGACTTCGCCTTCAGACATTCGTGGTGTATTAGTTTACACTACAACGGTAATTGCTTTCGTCTTACCACTATCCAACAGATCTTTCTGGTGTAGTAGAAGCTCGAGGGAACAAGCATTCCATCAGCATAGCTCGTGTCGTTGTGGTATACAAGCCCGACCACCATGTCAAGGTAGCAGCTATCAGTCGGGGTTTTGAAGAGGAAGAGATTAGAGTGAAAAATTTTACAACTAAATGATCTTTCTTGTATTTTATGTGTTTTAATTCATATTACTTTTCACTTTTAGATGTAACTGCTTTGCCACCAGAATTGCCAAGTTTACCTAAGATTAAACAAGATGTATCACAGTTGATTGATTCTCTTCGTAGCGGCTTAATATCGACTGGTACCTTTTTTGGTTTGATATCCACGGAAGAAGATCAGTCTAAGGATAACAGTAAACATAAAGTGAGGATGAATTGCTTTATTTATCTCTAATAGTTTTCTTGTGTTAAGAATTATAAAATTGTATTGAGTTATTATAATATATTTATAGGAATGATCACTTGGTTGACAGACAGTAGTGCCGGATTTTGAACGGAACTGACATTCAGAATACATCTACGTTTCATACTAATTGTTTTTCCCAGTGTTTATATTTGCACTCGAATAAGCTTATAGGAAATCAAAGATCCATACTTATCTGAAAAAGTCAACCTGCTGAACATACCTTTGCTGTGAAAAAGGCATTATTTGTGGGTGTGACCTTTAGCGACTGAGGTGCCTTGACATGGGTTTCTTATGTCGAACTACCGCCTGCCTCAATGTGCTATGTCAGAGGAAGGTGTATTAGGTTCCAAGAAGGTTCGGGATGGCTAGACCGAGACGTGGCACCGGTCGAGGAAGTCTCTGACTGTTGGTCTGAGTCGTGTTGGAAGGTATAGACTACCTGTCTGGGGTCCCTGAGTTGATAAAAATCATTGATTGAGAACTTTTGGTAACATGACTTAAGATCCGTCTTAGTGGCGCAGATGTATTCACCTCTTGACGTCTTCTAAAGGTTGAATATTCGCACTAACCTGTATCTTTAAATTGTTTATTCTCACACAATTTTGTCCACTTTTGTATCACTTTTATTCTATCCACCCGTTCTTTATATGGTACAGTGAAGTGTGGCAACTTGAACTGATACATTTGTTAGCAAGGTTCTGCGTTGATGCTCTGTCTGTCTGTGCATAAGAAATCCAGTTAAACTTTGTCATGGCCTAAACACTCGTACTCTGGTCCTAGATTCGATCCCTCCTATGGGTACTTCAGTCTGGACAATTAGTTGGATGGTATGATAAGCCGTTCATCCACTTACCCAGCTTCTTTTCTTTTCTTGTCCGACAAGAGCGATCTAATAGGCTCATAAGCAACAAGCCGTCTTTGAACACTAAAGTGGCAGGTTTTGTCCCAACCCTTTCATTTTGTTTAATGACCAGGGAAAGAAAAAAAGCTTTAAGATCCAAAGGATAGTAGATAAGATAGGTAGCATATAGATGAGGAATACTTAAGTCCTTAAGGTTCAATGAAGCATGAAACATAGGTGCATCTCCAGCCGAGACGGTATATTTATTCTTAGTGAGGATGACAACGAAATCCAGTTCTCAGTGCAACCTGAGCAGAAATGTAAGGATGTTTAAGATATCTGAAATCAGGTAAATGTAAGATTTTTCCTCAAGACTATTTATCATCTTCTGAAAATCTAATTTTGGGGAGTAAAATTGCTAATTGCGTTGACTGTTATACCTGAAGGAACAGTGGCATCATCCCTTTGTTGGCTGGGAAACCTAGGTATAGATATAAATGTATTTTTAGTTCTTTCAAACGGCCTTACCTATGACCAAGATAAGGTAAATAAATATCTGAGTGATGAAGGGCACATATCAACATTTATTCGAATATTTAACCCGATTGCTAAGTGTATAATACATGAGTAAGTCCTAGGTTTTTGATCAGTAACGTCTCATCCATAGAACAAGCATAGTTCAGTTTGTACAAGATAAACCTCTACATGGTAACTAAGATGCATAGCTTAGTTAATTTTTTTATGCACCTTCACAATGTCATTTAAAACCATGTAACTCCTACTCCCTTCACTTACTATCAGATCTTCTGTGGCTGTGATTATTAGATTGCATTATTTGTATTTGTATTATTTGGGTTCCTAGTGGAAAATAGGGCTTCAGTAGCACGTCACCATTTCACTCTCTTCTCTCCAGTCTTTCCAACCTGGCTCCACGACTGCCCACAAGCTTTCATTTCTTCCTCACATCATATACTCCATGTCACCCTCAACTCAGACGCCCAACTCGTCGTCTCCCCTTTGCGTTCCACTCGACGGCCTGGCCTGGTGCGTGATGTCCCCAATCAGTCTTCTCAGTGTATGGCCAATCCAATCTAATCCATCTCCACTTCCACTTCCATTGCCTTCTGCATATTTGTTGGGCGATGGGTTCCTGGTTGGTTCGTTGCCAGACAGACAGAGTTCCTTGTTGTTTATTCTTAGTATTCTGGTCATCTGATCTCATCTCATCTGATCTGATCCGATCTTGAGTATCGAGTGAGCGTAGGCAGCAGCAGTTGATCATGTATATCTGTAGTTTGTTGGAAATGCTTTTTGTGACGCGCCAAGTTTGTCAACCATCACATAGAAGCACTGACTTGACTGGGATTAGTGTTGAAAATCCGGATGTTGTTCACGCTTTATGCTGAGTGCAGTAGATCCCCACGCTGGTTTCAGATTAATGCAGCAAGGTCTGTCTTGCTGTCTTTTCGATCCTGGATTGGACGTCCTCATCTGTGCATGTGCCACCTGTAGTTGGAACGATGCTTCCTAGGTAGGTGAAAGAGACAAATTTCTGTAGGTTTCTCCCGTTGATTGTGATTGGTGCTTGTTGTTGTTGTTGTTGGTTTGGTATCTTCGTCACCTCTGTCTCCTCTACGTTCACTTGAAGTCCTGTCCTCGCTGCCCTGCCTCTTCTGTCAACTTGTTGGTTTTTGCCTGTAGATCTTCGAGTCTGTACGACAAGACACTAGACATAAATCATAATCGGTGAAATCCAAATCTTCTAGGGTCTTTTCATCGGTCCAGCCAACGTATGCTCATCTTCTTGCTCCTCACGGTTTGCTGCATGATCCAGTCGACCACAATCAGGAAGATCATTGGTGACAGTAGGCGGCAGCCTTGTCTCATTCCTGCCTTCACTTCGAAGGCATCACTGAGCTTCCGATTGTGAACTACTTGGCATGTGGAGTCTTCGTGTAGTTGTTGAATCAGATTGATACAGGATTGCGGTATTCCGCAGTGTTGAAGCAGCTGCCTGTCAAATCACTTCTCGGTCGACGCTATCGAAGGCCTTTTCAAAATCGATGGAGTCGAGGTACAGTTGAGTTGACTGCCATTCTACGCTCTGTTCTATGATGATGCGTGGCGTAGAGTTGCAATTTGGTCAGCACATGATCTGCACTTCTTGAATCCGGCCTGTTCCAGTGGTAATTTTGAATGCAGAGCATGTTTTAGTCTCTCCAGGATGATGCGGCCTAATATTTCGCTTGCTTTGGGTGGACGAGTGTAGCATGATTCCGCGCCAGTTCTTGCAAAGACTTAGGTCTCCCTTCTTTGGAAGTTTGACAAGGTAGCCCTTCTTCCAATCAATGGGCAGGTACCTTTCCTTCCTTCCAGACCTTCTGCAATAGTGGTGTGGTGTGAGCATATCCGCTGTCGTCTCTGCGTCTGTTTTCAGTGCTTCTGGAGGAATTCCATATGGTCCTGCTGCTTTCCCGGATTTTAACAGCTTTGTGGCGTCCAGGATTTCGGCTCTTGTCGGGGGGCTTGTGTTCACTGGTAATTCTGTAGCTGGGCTGCTGATGGTATTTCTGGACTAGTTGCAGGTGGTGGTCGACTCAAGAGTTTTCCGAAGTGGTCACCCCCACGTTTCCTTTTTTTCTCCTCTTTGGTGATAACTAGGTTTCCTTCACTATCTCTCATTGGTTTATCTGAGTTGATCTCTTCCCTCCCAGATAATAACTTGGTTATTTGACACAATGTTATCAGGTCTCTCTCTCTCTCTCTCTCTCCCGTACCTGCAGCCTATTCTGCTTCACTTGCCAGTGTGTCGTAGAAGTGTCTTGTATTTGCGCGCACTCTCCTTCACTTCTTTGTCTAGTGTAGTGTTATATAGGTTGTGTTCAGTTCCTCTTTTGGTTGTTCATCCTTGCACTGCACTGGTTCATCTTCTGCTTCACCATCTTCCTCTCCCTGCTCTATCAGCTTCCATGTGTCCGTCGAGATACATTCCTTGTCTGGCGTCTTCTTCTTCCTTACTAATATGGTTATACAGGTTTCTCTCCACATCTCTTTCAAAGAGTTCCAGTGTTCGTCCACGGAGGTTTGTTTCTGCAGGGATGTCGCTTGAAATTTCCTATTTTGTCCTGATGACTGAAGTAAAGATGTCCTTTGTAGTTTCGTTCATCAGTTCAGTTTCTGTTCTGGGCGTTGAACTTGAACTGTGGTCTTTCGCCGACTTTTTTGAAGGCTTTCAACTTGATTTTGAAGGTTATACAATATACAGTATTAAATTAGTTGCTTTTTAGTTGGTAATCAACCAACCTGCATTAGGGAGTAACCTACACAGATGGATATGTCTGGGAAGTATGAATCCCTTTGATTAACATCAACCTTTTTCCAGCATCACTTCATGCCAATAGCCTTACATTACTCGCAACTTCTTTCCTCGAAAGCAGCTCACAAAATAAAATTAACAGTACCCCGCAGGAAAGAAAAGAGCGCAAAGTATAAAAAGCCTTCGCCTAATTAAAAATCGAGACTAAATAATTGAAACTAGATTTCCGGATCTTGGATTTAAATTGTTTTATGAGATATGTGTAAAAGATAGAGATCCGGTAATTCACTTCGTCTCATTCAACCAGTGGTTACGCTGTTCAATTTCACGACTAGTTTGTCAACCCTCACAACGTGAACTTTTCAAAAAAATCTCGACAGAAAGTCACTTGTATACTGTTGATTGAAGGGTATGGTAAGAAGTTGGATTATGACTGAGTTCATGTTTGTAATTTCTCCCTATGCACCAACGACTTCAGTTTGAACGAAGTGAAGGATGTTTCACGTAAAACTACGTAGCCTTCTACAAAGGGAAATGTACATTTTGCATCATTCAATTTAGTTCAAAACTAGTGACTTTTAACTTACAGAGACACCGGATGACCTAGTGACTATTCCAACTCAACAGTGGAGACAATTAGACCATGTTGCTACCAATCATTTTTGAAGAGGTCTGGTGAAGAATTACTGTTACCCTTAGAACATTCGGAAACTTCGATCTAGGCGTAAATATGTGAGTCTAATTTAGACACGAGACCATTACAAGGACCTCGTTTTATTTGACAATCATTGGGAAACACAA